TAAATGAACAGAATTACAAACTTTCCCATTTTAATAATTCATCCCGAGAAGAAGTAATCTTCTTTGTGGTTTTAAATAATGCAGTCATCTCGAATAATACAACAAAAATAACTAATAAACGGTATGAATAAAATCTACAGTCAATGTTTTTAATAGAGACAGAAGAGGCAGATAAAAAGACGATATATGTGGTATTTTTAAGGTCAAAGGTCAAACAGTAAAAAGGTCAAAACACACAGTTTTTAAACCAGAGGTTAACTAGACTATTAAGAAACTTGATAATCCTCATCAGACTTTATATTTTCTGCACGCTCTCCTTGATATAATGAAAACATGACAAAGACGAGGAGGACTCACTTCTTCTCCAGAGTGTCCATGTACTCTTTCTTCTTCCTGCGACTCTCCTGAGCTGAAATCTAAAACAGAGAGCGAGAGAAAAAGAGAGAGAAATGTTATGAAAAATTATGGAAAAAGTTTGCTTTATGTGCAAAGACAACGTCAGTCCTTTTCTACTCTGCTTTATGTGTATTTGTTTGTGTTTGTGTTTTTCCAATCACGACTTGTACCTTATTTTTGATCTTCCTGCGGATCTTCTTCAGCGCCTTCTCCTCGGCTTTGGTGAGCGGCAGTTTGGTGGGGACAGGATAACCTTCGGCCACCAGCGTGCGGCGCTCTTCTTCAGTCAGGATCAACGGACCCGACCCCTGCAGCTTCTACACACACACGCACGCACACACACACACACACAAAGGTTTGTTAGAGTAAGTTATTAAGGAAACAAGAAGATTTGATTCTGGATTATTTCTCTGAGGAAGTTTAAATGTAGTATTTTGTTGGTAGGATGAAGAACATAATTTTACTTTAAAAATGTTTGAGAGAATGATCTACTATTAATACTAAATAAACACACAGTTTAGTTTCAGTGTTCCTTATTTTTTGCCAAACAAAGAACAAAAGACTACAGGCTGTTACTCACATGAGGGGCGGTGAGCAGAGGGGAGTTGGAGAGACATGAAGCAGTGCGGGGCGACACTTCAGGCTGGCCTGTGATGGTGGAGGGCTGGTGGGGGAGGTGGGGCAGGAGAGGCTGGGCGGGCGTGAACGGGCTCTGGCTGCCCTCTGAGTCGCTGCCGTGGGAGCTGGGAGGAGTGGGAGGCATCTGTAGAGACTCCAGACCTGAAAGGGGATTTGATGTAGTGTATCAGGAGGAGTGATGGACGAAGCATTCGGATCCTTAGAGTAAAAGTGTGTCGGTATAATGCTCAACATTTTCTTTGAGTATTCTCTAAGTTCATGTATGGATAGTAAAAGTACTCATCTGTTCAGTTAAATATTCCCTGTCAGAGTTTTACAGTCATATATGGTGATTTTTAATTCTCATTACTGAAGTATAAACGGGTATTTTTTAGAAGTTGGTTCATTTTCTTAACACATAAAGAAACTCAAAGATTTAGAGATTTTTGGTTTTCACTGGGAAGTAAAAGAATTACACTTGTAACCTGACACCTAACCAATGTGTTAGAAAATCCAATATCTTTAGTATGAAATATGGAAATAATCCTGTAAAGTTCTTGAACTCAATGTTTTCCTAACCAGTCTTTATTTATTTACATTCTCATCTGGATCAAAGTGATTTTATCTACTTCAGTCTGAGCCTGATTTTGAAGTATTTCCACAAACGACCTGCAGGGGTCCTTGTTGCATAGGACTATGGACATGCAAAGACAGGGACATGCAGAAGAAGAGTTTAAAATGCAGACCTTTGGGGGAAAGATTGAGAAACTGGTCCACTTCATGAGGTTCCAGTTTTATCTGGGGGACAATGTTCTCCTCCTTAATCTGAAAACAAAGAAAAAAGATATTTAACAGAGAAACAAAGATGACAAGAAAATATCAGTTGTCATTGTTTTTCCTCCTGATCTCACCTTGATGCCTTTGCCCTGGTTGTTGCTGTTCACCGGGGGTTGAACTGGGGTGGATGGAACTGCAGCAACAGCAGCAGCAGCAGCAGCAGCAGGGGCCACGGTGGGGTCCTCGGGTGCTGGGGCCCCCGCTGTGGTCAGAGAGAGGGAGAGGGTGGGGAGGAGGGAGGGGGTCTCGCACAGGAGGCTTTCGATGGCCTCGTCCTGCTCCATCGGCCACTCGGATGAATCCCCGTCAGACTCTCCTGCACGGGAGGAAAACATGTTGCTGAGTTAGAAAAGGAATAAGATTGAGCGATCCTGACTTTTCAAAGGATCTAAACAGTGATCTGTGTCTCACCTGCTTCACTGCCGTGCTCTCCGGTCAGGTGCGACAGCGGCGACTGAGGCCGGCTGTCCCCGCAGAGCGAGTAGCTGTGCTCGGCCGTGATGTGAGGAGGCAGAGGGGACGACGGGGACAGGTCTCCCCCGTCCTCCCCCTCCATGGCCTCCACGCCGCCCCTCACTCCGGACAGGAAAGGGTCGCTGAGCAGCTGGCCCAGCAAAGCATCATGGGAGAGGTCGTCGAGGAGCTCGGAGAAGTGCTGCGAAAAAGAAAAGAGAATAATTCCATAAACATCTTTGCAATTGAAGAATAAAATATCGATTGGATGGCAGCCGAGAGGAGACAGACAGATAATTACACGGAGCCACGACAGCCTGCCTGTAATTAGAGGCTGCTGAATCTTTTACTACCACCTTTCCTTGAAGTTCCCCCCCGAGGGAACTCTAAACGAACCAATTAAAAACCTGTAAAATCGTCATTCATTTCAAACAAATCAGACTGAAATCTCCCCTTTCCAATCACTGTTTCTCTTTCTGTGTGTGAGCGTCAGTGTGGTGATACATTTATGCAAACAGCAGCCGAAAGATCCTCCACGCCCCCCCCCCACCCCTCTGTACACCCCTCATCTCGTCTGTCATTGCCCCCGTCTTCTCTCCTCCTCCCCTACATTCTTCTTTCTCTCTCTATCTTTTTCCAGAATCTCTCATCAAGGTGACTATGTGTGTTCAGATCTGCCTCCATGCTCAGGTGTTGTGACGAACTTAAACCAAAGGCAGCCAAAGCAAAGCCCCCCCCCCACTGGTGATGTGATGATAACATACTGACACACATCTCTTTATGCAGAACCTGCAGCTGTACGTCTTTCAACATTTTCAACAGTTCTGGTGGAGGCCTTTCATTCGTTCTCCTACAGTGTTCAAAATAAACTGAATCTGATGCATGATATAAAAAACTTTTTTTTGTTTGTTCCTCATGCTCATCTTTGAGGAAAGTTTCAGTTCATGTTTCAATAATCCACAAACATGATACAGCTCTTACTCTGTCTGTTTACAAGTTTTTACACAGTATTACACTGTAAAGTTATAATATTATAGTATTAATAATATTAAGCAAAGTATAATATCAACTTTTTTTTAAATGTGTGTCTTATTAGCCAGATGTTTCCATAGCAACACGTTTTTCTCTCATTAGAAATCATCAAAGATCAAATTAATAACACAGAAATGTGGTTTTCAAATTAGAAACACTAAATTAAATCCAGTCCTGTCCTCGCTTGAACTCTCCGCCCCGTGAGAGAATGCCAACATCTTTATGATGTAACTTTAACTGCTCAAATTCTGTTGCCGGGCAGGATACACAGATTCTGTCCAATGGAATATCAGCATGGTCGGAACATTCCGCACTCAGCCAATCAGAAAGAGTAAAAAACACTTTAAATACGGCACACGTTAAACTGAGACTTTCTAAACTGTGGAGTCAACTAAAAAGAACGATTAGATGTTGGAAGTGTTGAATGTAAAGGTTGGAACGCTAGTCTAAAAAACAAAAACAAACGGCTGGATGAATGGAGAGAGAAATCAAGATGGAGGAAACAGAAGGAGGGTTGAGTGTGCGCCAAGCATGTGGCTTCAATTACAGACCGAGAGAGACAGAAAGAAGACTTGACTTTTTACATTCACACAGAGAAATGACCTCCTCACTGCATAAACACACACTCCTGTCGCCCTATGCTACCCTTAAAAGGCCACTGTGAGTGAGTGTGTGTGTGTGTGTGTGTGTGTGTGTGTGTGTGTGTGTGTGTGTGTGTGTGTGTGTGTGTGTAATGCAAACACTGACAGGATGCTGTGAATGAATTCAAGGGGGAAAGACAAATATTTACACATTTATCCAAGAATGGGTGCATTTCCATCTTTTAGAACCATCAGTGTGAACAAACCATGATGCAAATGTATGCATGTGTGTGTGCGTGTGTGTATTCCTGTCTTTTGTGTGTGTGTGTGTGTGTGTGTGTGTGTGTATGTGTGTGTGTGTGTGTGTGTGTGTGCACATGCCAAAACCCATCACATTATGGGCAAACAGTTAAAATAAGTTACAACTCCTTACTGGCCCAGCTCCGGTGTGTCTTGGTAACCACATCTTCACCGTGACTAAGAGCCATTTTTATACATCAAACTGCTGCTGATATTATTATTACACCTCTTCAGATTTTAATGCGCACACATGTTGACAGTTAAAGGTTTCACTGGGATGATGATAGCTATTATAAAGTCAGCACTAATGAATAAAGTACCAGCTATTGGTGAAGTGAGGGGGAAAAATATTTCAAAATTCCAAAAGCAAAAGTACAGCTTTAAAAAACTATCTTAAGATCCTTTGAGTGTTATAAACATCAGGTTTCTTGGTAGAAAATGTTTAACTGTTAGCGTCCCCTAAAGCTAATAAGAGTAAGGTTAGAAAGTCTGAACTAGGCTATGCTATGGTGTCTACAAATCTGACAAGTCTGAAGAAAAAGTCTGACAATTTGGTCGATTTGCATCAGATTTTGGCTTTGAAAAGAAGAAGACAAACACCATGTTGGTGGAAGAAAAAGGGTGTAGGTTTGAGGAGGAGTAATTGCATAGAGAACTCGTAATTTAGAAGAACCTAAGGCATGGTTTGTGGGTTTAAAATGTGGTCTAAATGACCTTTAACATCGCCCTTTTCTCTCTTTGCCTCATTTGTGCTACTTTCTAAAGCAGAAAAAAAAAGCTCTCAGTCATCTCAGATTTTAGCAGAAATTTAAAAAAAAAGAAAAAAAAAAAGACTTCCACCCAATGTGAGAATGCCAAACAGAAATAAAGTCTCATCTTGTTTTATAACAAAATGGAGTGGGATGGGGTCATACTCTGCTTGCATGAAAACAGAACCACCCTAAAGACGCATAGTGAGGGTTTATACGCTCCCTGTCATTTTTGTCTTGGGAGTGTGTGGTTGTGGTTTTGTGTGTGTGTGTGTGTGTGTGTGTGTGTGTGTGTGTGTGTGTGTGTGTGTGTGTGTGTGTGTGTGTGTGTGTGTGTGTGTGTGTGTGTGTGTGTGTGTGGAAGAAGAAATGCGATGCAGGCAGTAGACCAGCCTGCAGGATCGGTCACCGGCCTGATGTCACACAACAGGAACCTCTTTGTCTCTGCAGGCCCAACACAGAGGTGTTATTTCGGGCCAACCGTAACTCGACTCCCTCCAGCTGGGACAGAGAAACCTGCAGAGTTGAAGCCTTAATGGGAAAACTGGGAGTTTCAACAAACTAGGAACTAGGGTGAGAATCAGGAGGTCATTCAGTTCCCTTAAGGAGCCGTGGTGATAACAAAGAGGCCGTTCACACGTTTTTTTTTCTCAGTTTGGGTTTGGTCTGAAACACATCGCAGCACACAGAGAACGTCCCTGAAATGCAGATGTTAATCTTTTAATGAAGACACGATCAACGCTGTAGATGAAGGAGTAAATGCCAAGTGATTATATCTCTTGAGTTCAGTGGAAAAATCACAAAGAAAATCCTGTGTCGCATAAAGACAGAGAAAACCCTTTGAAAAGTTGTGCTATACTGTATTTAATCAAATCAAAGGAACGATGATGAAAAGACTTCAAACCAGGACATCGAATCATTTGAATTGAAAAATATGCAGACTTTGACTTTAGAAATAAAAAGGATCAAAACAAGACAGAGAGGCCGCTGCCATGCTGTTAGCATTTAAGAACTGTCCTTAACACTTAAGTGTAAATGTGAATGCTAACTTGCTAACATGCTCAAAATAACATCCCAAACATGTTGATGTTTAGCATGTATAATGCTTATCAAACGCATCATCTTTAGGTGCTCACAGATTGCCAGTTGAAGGTGAGATACCTGCACCTGCATGGAGGCAGCAAAGTCAAAAACAAGATGCAATTTTAGGAAACCGAAAGTGTACAAACGTTTAACAAATATCGTCCTGATAAATACAGAATAATGTCATCAGCATAATGTGAAAGCTCATAAGTTAACATGGAGCGTCAATAGGACACTTTGTGCATATTAAATATATGTACTTATAAACCAGTGAGCTAACTGATCAATAGTCCTGTTCCTTTAAAAACAGTTATCAGGTTAGAAGAGATAAGGCCCGACAGTAAACTCCTCGACAGCTGTGTTGGTCACTCGTTGGCAGCTAAATTAGTGGGAGTGGGCAAGGGGAGGAAGGAATGTCCCCTCTGCTCTGTAATTGTCCTTGTAAAGACGGATATGTGTGCTTCTGTTTTAACCCTTAATGATCGTGGGGGGGGGGGTTCAGCTTTGGAAAGGGCGAGGGGGAGAGGGAGAGGAAAGTTTGATAATGTAACACCTTCCTCCCCTGAAAGGCTAAAACCAGATGTGAGAGAGTATCCTGGAAATGGCCAGACACCCACACATGCAGGCCCAAGGGTCATCTCCCTCGTGTGTGTGTGTGTGTGTGTGTGTGTGTGTGTGTGTGTGTGTGTGTGTGTGTGTACCTTGCCCTGGACTCATCAGCGTGTACTTTAGCTGATGATACAACCTGACATCACAGTTGAACACACAGCCAACCAACACACATCCACGTATTTACACATTAATTTATGTCAAGATAAACTGGATGACTCATTTGTTTTTCTGATTTGGACCTTTGAGGTATCAACATTACAAACTCTTTCAGTATTTTTGATAGAAATCTTCAGATTTATCTTTTAAAGCTGGACTTGAAATGGAAATTGCATTTCTGTTTTAACCTCAGGCACAAGTAATAAGTGATTTTTAAACTATCTGTAAAACATTGTATTGTTTTAATTGGTTGTATTTCTTTAGTCCTGCAAATTTTCATTTATATCCCCAGCTTTTTTTTCAGTCTATTTTTCCAGCATGAAGCACTTTATGAAACATGTTTGTATAGAAGGAGCTGTATAAATGAATAAAGTTGAGATTACAGACTTTCACCATCTACTGCACTTTTACAAATCACCCACACGTGTCCCATCATTACCAGATAAGCACTGATAAAGTTTGAAGTGATATCTGACTGTTTATCTGCCTGAATGTTGTTCATTCATTAATTTGAATAGTATAGTAGGTTCCTTTAATTTAAGTCTTGGGGGCCAACATCAAAACCAGTCCCCAATGTGTCTAAACGAAGTCACTTATTGTTTTTCCAATGTTTCATCTTTCCCAAATGGATTACAAATCTGGTTTGAAGCATTTAGGAATCAAATCCTTTGGGATCATATAAA